GGTTTTGTGCTGTGGCGCGTGTGTCCAACTCACAGTGACCCCACAGGAAGGGGTAGAACTGTCCTGACGGGTTCCTCGGCTGCACTTTCCACAGGAGCAGACTGCCACAGCTCTCTCATGGACCCACGGGTGGGCTCGAACCACTGCCTTCTTCACTACCAGCCTTGGATGACACAGCCATGAAAAAGAAAACCAAAAACAAATTCACTGCCATCAAATCGATACCAACTCATAGTGACTCTGCCGGGCAGCGGAGACTTGCCCCCAGTGGGTTTGCCAGGTTGTGCATCTTCATGAGAGCAGGCAGCCCCATCTTTCTCCCAGAAGCAAGACTGATGAGTTCACACTGCTGACCTTGTGGTTAGAAACCCAACGTGTAAGCCCTAACAGCCAGGGGAAGTCGCTATGGTCACCATTCCACTTTTAACGATGAGGACGCTGCATTACAGAGTGCCCACAGTCCCCACTGCGTGAGTCCAGGGCCAAAGCCAGACCACCTGGCCCCAGAAGCATGGGCTCTCAAGCACACACCTGCTAAGCCGTTTTTGTTGTGTGCTTATTCTTTCCATCCGTTTCTGTGGGCAAGTTCGTCCACCCTACAAATAGTTACGGAATGCTTTGTGCTGGGCAATATTCCAGGCATTGTGCTTTCCAAATTCTGGATTTTCCAAAAACTCTTCAGCCGGCGCTTCGGCAATCAGAATAGGCTCAGAGCCGTTCTTGTTGAAAGGACCCAGCAGTCACTTTCCTGGAAGCGGAGGGGCAGCCTGGGAGGAGAAAAGCTCAGGACTCCGACTAACCTTGGAGGCAGCCCTGCTCCCAGCGGCCTCTAAATCCTGGGTCACCACCAAAGGCCTCAAGCAGGAGGCGGGTGTCTGTGGGGGTGGGGGCCTGGCCTGGCTTGGGGCCACAGGGCACACTGGCCGGGCCAATGCTAAGGACCTGTTTCCTGGTGTGGGGAATTCCTGTCCCTGCAAATGGTCCTCCGACAGCGACATCTTCCAAGTGCTACCAGAGGAAGAGTGACACCCGTGGTTTCCAACTGTCCTCTCGTGGTCTCCAAGTCAGTCGGTCTTCCTTGTTTTAAGAGGAGGAGGAAACAGAGGCCCAGGAAGCAGACGGGCCCGGCCAAGGTCCCATTGCCAGCTGGAGGAGTTAAGCCCGTCATAATCCTGGTTTCGTGACACCCAGCCTAGGAACCCTTCAGACCTCTGCAGGGTGGGACCCAGGAAGCAGATGGTCCTGGGCCCACTGGGGACACCCCCTTGCTGTCCAGTGGGTCCAGCCTCCTCTCTGCACTGCTCGGGGGCCGACCTGTGACTAGATCGGTGTATTTGTCCTTCCTGGGAAGTTTCCACGGGTGTGAAAGGAGCTAAAGGTTCCGAGAGGATTGTTGGGGGTTGGGGGGAGGGGAGGACCAGTACAGGATTACAACATGTGGGAAACTGTGTGGCCTTGACCCGGGTCATCAGCTCAACAAATATTGACTGAGTGCTGCCTGCCAACCACTATTGTGGATGTTTGCCAATCATCAGTGGATGATAGGAGGGGAAAATCCCAGCCCTTTCATTCTGAAAAGAAGGCGTGAATCACAGGTTGCAAAGCTTATTGGGCCCTTCTGCCCCCTTTTCAGAAAATAAACTATGCAGCTCCCCCAGAAACGTGAAAATGTTCGTAAAATAGCCCATAATGCATGATAAAGTGTAGGCATCTGTTTCTGTAGCCCATCCCCACCCCTATCATTCCAGTACACACACATCCGGGAGCAGAATCATTCATTTGGGGAAACGCTAATTTGAAAAATATTATTTCCCCCACCCCTCACTGCAAGGATGACAAATAACAGACATGTGGGTGAAGGGAGACAGCAGACAGTGTAAGATACAAAAATAACAGTAATAATATATAATTAATCAAGGATTCACAAGCGTGGGAAGTGGGGAGGGGAAAAAAGAGGAGCTGATACCAAGGGCTCAAGTAGAATGAAAATGTTTTGGAAATGATGATGGCAACATATGTCCAAGTTTGCTTGATATAATTGATTTACAGATTGTTATAAGATCTGTAAGAGCCCCCAATAAAATGAATAATAAACATTTTTAACTATTATTTGGTTTATTAGCTGATGTGGAGTGAGAAAGCGCAATGTAGGATGAGCAAGAGAGGTAGGGTCAGAGTCTTCGAGAGGCCAAGATCAAGGAGCAGAGTGAATGAGCATCTTGGGCCCCTCCCATCCTGATGAGAACTCACCCCTGGGTTCCTGAGAGGCTTCCAAGAGAGGATGTGCTCGGAGCCTCCTGGCAGACCTAGTCCACAGAACACAGTCCATCAGCGTTACCTGTTGCTATTACTGTACCTGGGGATTGTTTTAAGATCGAATCTGACCGTATCTTGACTATGATAAGTGTCCAGGAATCATCTGTTTCCATTCGGATTTCCTTTTTTGCCAGCATTTTGCTCATATTTCCCTGTTCAGGGGCAAAGAGGTCATAAACGAATTTTTACTGGGATGTAAATGACTAACACATGGTCCTTTCCACCCATCAGGGGACAGTGGTGGGATCTGAGAAGCCGAGAGTGCTTGCTTCCTTGACGTCCTGGAATCAAAGGACTGTGTCCTCTTGGGCAAGTACACCTGCCACCTCTCTGAGCCATGGGCCTTTATCGCTAAAACAGCGATGTGACTTACCCTGAGTCCACTGCCCTTCTGTTCCTCGGGCCCTGTTTCCTGCCTCTGGGCCTTTATACTTGCTGTTCCCTTGGTGCGTTAGTGTGGGCACTTTAGAGAAACAAATCCACAGAAACTCATGTGGAAGACAGAGTTTTATATAAAGGTTAACTGCGCATCAAGAAAACATCTCAACCCAGTGCTGCCCAAGCCCACAAGTCCAACATTAACCCATATGTCCAACACCAATCCACAAAGTCCTCCTCCATCTCACAAAACAGACGCAATGATGCCGACTGCAGGAGGAAAGCCAAGTCAGTGAATGTGTAAGCATCTCAGCGCTGGCAGGGGTCTCCACACAGCTGCTCCAGCACCCAGGGCTGCATTGGGGTAAGTCCATGTGGCTTCTCCTCAGGGATGTCTTGCAGGGAACTGGCTAAGGCAGCTGCACCCTGGTGCGACCATCAGAAAGCAAGAGACCCAAGAACTAGAAAGGTGAAGCTCACCGAGCCATTTATCTCTCCGCCCTTCAATCAACCCCACATGTGTTTATCGGTCAGGTTGGCACAATAAACTAACTACCTCACTTGGCCTGGCCGTGGCTCTTCCAAGGGCTAGCTCGTTTTCATCCTTAGGGTCTCAGTTCAGCATGTCACTGCCCCAGAGGGGCCTGCCTGGGCCAACACCTCTGAGTGGAATCCCACAGAGCTGGATTCCACTCTCTGCTGGGCGACTGTTGCCAGTATCATTCACCCTTTTAGGCCACGGGGTCTCCGTCTCAAAGTGTGGCTGAAATCCCTGTGGTTTCTTGAAAGGGCTGTGGCAGAAAGGATGAGAAAGGATGCGGAGCGTCACCCTCACGGAGCCTGGTTCATACTGTGTGCTCCGAAGAGAGCAGTTTCCTGTCAGTTCTCGCCAGGAGCCCGAAGGATCACAGGATCAGGAAGGCTCAGCCCTGCCCTCGGTGGGTGAGCTGGCTGGCAAGGGGCCAGCCAAAGACAGAGAGAACAAGTATAGCGAGACCCAGACCGCAGGCTTCCCCGGGCTCAACATGCAAAGCTCTGCTCTCCAGCTCCGTCCCAGCACCTTCCATGACTCTGCCTTGGAAGTCACCATTACGCCTGCCACGCTCTACATGGCTGAGGTAGCCGAGCTTCCAGGGGAGGGGGGCAGATTCCACCTTTTGGTGGGAGGAATGTCAATGACTTTGGACATGTTCTTGAAAGACCAGTTATCAGAAAGCAGAGCGAGGTTGATGCAGCAATGGAGAAAGTGCAGAGGATCCAAGAGCCTCAGAGAAGAGCCATCCTCTAACCCAGGAGAGACGTGTGTGAGGCTGGTGGTCAGGGGAGGCTTCCTGGAGGCAGAGGCAGAATACATCTCACAAATGGAGGGAGTGCTGGGATGAAAGGGTCCTGGTGAGGCTGTCCCGTAAGTCTGGGGATGCTAACCTCAAGTTGGCAGTTCAAACTTACCAGCTGTTTGGGGGAGAAAGATGAATCTATTTGTTCCCATAAAGATCGACAGCCTCAGTAGCCCGGCAGACTCTTGCTATTGATCACCAACAAACCTTTGTCTCCTCCATATCCTATTTAGTTGGTCTCATTTCTCTGAATCCTCAGGCACCGTTATGGCCTCTGGAACGATTTATCTTTGCCTTGAACTTAATCAATGTGCCTCTACAAATTATATTGGAATCTGGAGTCTCCTTAGGGCAGAGCCACGGTGAGTTGAAATCAACTCAGCAGTGATGTGGTTGCTTGTGGGAGGGTTGATTTTTCTCCCCTAGGATGGTTCTGAGGGCGCATGGCCAGAAGTGGAATTGCTAGGCCACAGGGTGTGCAGGTGTTTAAAGATTTGCTAAATTGCCTTCCAGAAAATTTTACTACCAGCAAATTTTGAGACAGCCTGTGTTCCCGTGTGTGTGTGTGTGTGTGTGTGTGTGTGTGTGTGTGATTTTTCAAGCAAACAGAAAGCTGAGTACAAAGAAGAGAGAATTTGAATAGTGCCAAGGTTGGTTTTGATCCCAAGGTCTGCCTGTTACAGGGTGCGTGATCCTAAACAAATAACATATAGCCTCTTTGAGCCTCAGTTCCCTCATCTGTAAAAATAGCCCTGCCTGGCTCAGCTCTTAAGAGGGCTGACTCAGGTGTGGTTTGGGCTCTGAGGCATTCAGAGTGGCGACAACAGGCTTGCAGCTAAGACCTGTGGCCCCAATGATGTCATGTCCCTGCACCTCCCCTTCCTGCTCCCATAACCTGCCCTCCACCTGGGCACCGCCCCCAGCCCTCAGGCTCTGGTTACTTAAGGTCCTAGCTAGACACTATGACAGACAACCCTACCCTCTGGGACCCACAGGGAATCCAGGATGGCGTCCTGGCCCCGAGCCCTGCCCGCTCTACTGCTGGGATTGCTTCTCGCCGCTACCCCTCGGGCCCACAGCACCGAGCCCGGTCTTGTGGGCAGGATCACTGACAAGGGCCTGGAGTATGGTAAGAAGCTGCAGCATGGGGCTAGACTTGGCTGACCCACCTGGCCCCAGGCTGCTGCGCAGGGCCCATGGGAGGTGGGCAGGGAGCCTGGGGTGGGGTGGGGGAGTTGGTGGGGGCGTTGGCAGCAAACCGAGCACTGCCCTCAGCCCAGTCTCTTCAGATGCCAGTTGGGCAATTGAGTAAAGTCCTTGTCTTAGTCTGAATTCCAGTAAGCCGACCTGAACACCAGGCCTTGGGGGCGTGTGGTTCCAGGAAACACTGGCGTCTGGGAGTGATTCCAGGAAACACCTTAGGGGAGCAGGAGCCTGGGATGGGGCAACTAGAAGGAAGTTATTAAACCATCTACCACTGCAGGTGGCTAGAACAAGCCCTTGGGGGAAATTCTCCATAAAGTTTTAAAACACCGTTCCTGAAAACCCGAGCTGATTCTTGTTTGGCCTCCAGCCCAAAAGAGCTCCCAATACGTAGATGCAGAGAGACAAACAAAACAAACCACCTGACCAAGATCGGGTGTTTGCTTTGGGGGAGCCTAATGGGCTGGGGTGAACAGTGCGGCTTCTAACGGTGGCCGGCTGCCTGGGAAAGGATTCGCTAGGAGGATCGTTGTGGGGGTGCTTTAAACACCAGGTAAAACAACATTGAATGAGTTGGGCTATTGAAACCATTAACACCCTGACATGGGTCCACCTGAAACTGCTATCTTACTTAGAAAGAGGGAAAGCAAGAAGCAATCACAATGTTCTGGCTACATTGAGAGCTGACTAACTGGGGGTAGGGGGTGGGGGTGCATAGCTTCCAGGTAGGCCAAAAGACCTGGAGAATGCCTGCTTAGCTGGAGAGAAGCCATCTCAGAGCATGAACTGCTGTCCCTACAATTCTAAAGAAGAATCTTGATCAAAAGGGGAGGGACTACAGAACAGAATTTCAAACTATCATTGATCCCAGATGTGGTAGGCCGGTTGACAAGTACAGTAACACTCACATGTGTATACAAGAGAGCTTTATATCAAGTAATTATATATCAAGAAAACATCCCAGCCCAGAACAACTCAAATCCCTAAGTCCGATCCTAGTTCATAAATCCCTCTAGAGCAGTGGTTTCTCAACCTTCCTAATGCCGTGACCCTTTAATACAGTTCCTCAGATTGTGGTGACCCCCAGCCATAAAATTATTTTCATTGCTACTTCATAACTGTCATTTTGCTACTGTTATGAATCGGGCAACCCCTGTGAAAGGGTCATTTAACCCCCAGGGGGTTGTGACCCACAGGTTGAGAATCGCTGCTCTTAAGACTCACAGAGCTACATGCAATGATGCAGAACACAGGAAGCTCACAGACCAGTGCGTGCAGAGTTACATGGATCTAACATCGGTGGAAGCATCGCCTGGTTCCAGAAGATCCAGTAGGGTGGTGGCCAGCAACTGGAAGGTCCGGGCAGAGAGAGCAAGGGAGGCTGGCCTCCAGAGAGCTATGTATCTCAGTCGCACCTCCAAGGAAGGTCATCGGGCTGTGATTCGATTGACAGGATAAACTCCATCATAGCTTCTTACCAGGGTCATGGCAGCATAGAAAACCTAACTATCGCAACAGACTGAGCCATGAAGGCTGGTGATGGTCCTGAAGTCATTGCTCTGAAATAATCCTTAAATCAAAAATAGTCTTTAAAACCAAACCATAGTTTAGTTTAATGAGTGAAAAGTCTGCTTGAGCACTGACCTCCTTAAAGAGCTGTCTCTCGGATCAAACTGACAACCTCCCAAGAACCTTAGGAGGCAGGGAGGCAATGAGGGAGGAACAACTAAGAAAATCAGGATGGGAACTGCTTACAATTGGAATGTCAGCAAGGACCCTGGATTGTGCTGTAGAAACCACTGCTATATATCTTCTCAGCAACCACACTACCCTGCCAGCCTCAGTGTGTTCCCTGCTCCCTGACACCCAGGAGGGGCTTCGTGTCTGTAACTGTGTTGTTATGGATTGAACCGCGGCTCCTCCCACCCCACATTTGGGAATGGGTTGTCTTTGTTATGTGATGTTGTTACCAGGACATGTTGTTGTTGGGGTGGGGGGGGTGGGGGGGTGTCTGTTGAGATACAGAAGAGATTAAACAAAAACTAACCAGAAGAGATGGGGACAGATAGATGCCAAGATACGTGGGAGTCTCTAAGAAACCAGGAAAAGACAAGCATCTAGAGAGAGAGAGAGAGACTTCCCCTAAACCTGGTTCCCTGAACTTGAACTTCTAGCCCTCTAAGCTGTGAGAAAATAAAAGTTTTCTGTTGGTCCAAGTCACCCAACTTCCATTATCACAACACAAGATTACTGAGAGGAATGTTCAAAAGACCTCCGCCTCTCATGGAACCCGGACTTGCTGGAGCCACGGAGCTGGTGAACCCCTGAAACAACTGCCCGAAGACTTCTTTCTGCCTTAGGCCAACAGTATCCCCCCGAAGTCTTCCTGAAACCCAACAACCGTTTCGCTTACTTAGCAAAGAAGTGTCTAGGGGAACCTCATGCTCTTTCAGAGAATTCTCTATGTACGGTCGCTACGCGGTGGGGCTGACTCGGTGGCAGGGAGTGTGAGTTCTATAGGGAGTCAAGTGGGCACCAGCAACTGGGAGGTGAGACAGGAAGCTTGGGGTCAGGGTGTTTACCCTAGTGGGGGAGGGGCGATCTGGAAAAGGAGAGTGGGAAGAGTCCCACACAACTCCAAGAAGGTCTTCCGTGTCACCGACTGGCAATGGTGGGGTGGGAGGTCAGGTGGGCGGGTCGGCTGTGCACGTTCTCCACAACAAAACGAAACCCAGTGAAATACGACAACAAAATGCAAAAGAATTTGAGCCCAGTATTAGACTGCACTTCTCGAGAAACAAAACCCTTGATAGATGTGTGTGTGTTTACATATTTACCTATCTATCTATGTATGCATATATTTATTGTTGTTGACTAGTGCTACATATGTGTACATACAAATATAAGGATAGATGTGTATACATTTGCATATATGTGTCACTGGTCCATAGGGAGAAAGAAAATATATATACAAACATATATATATATATTTATACCAGTGCCATACATATGTATGTGTACATATGTGTATATATGTGTTGATGTTAGGTGCCATCAAGTCAGCTCCGACCCACAGCGACCCTGTGCACAATGGTCCTGCGCCGTCCTCACAATGGCTCCCATGCCTGAGCCCGCCGATGCCATCCATCACTGTGCCAATCCATCTCCTTGGGGGGCCTTCCTCCCTCTCATCTCCTCTCCGGGCACTTCTATTTGCTCCCCTCTGACTTGGGAGACCCATCTGCAAGCAGCATCTCTGACAATGTTGTGCTTCCTTTCTTCAGGCTTTCCGTATTTGAAAATGCTTCCAAGCTCTGCATAAGGTTTTTGGAGGCTCCTTCCTCCCAAGTGGGGAACCCTCTTGGCTGTCTGTTTTTAGTCTGGAGGCTCCGCCGCTGAAACGTGTTCACTTTGGGTGACTCTGCTGGCTTTTGAAATACCAGTGACATCGCCTCCAACATCACAGCAACACACGAGCCAGCACAGTGTGACAAACTGACCGACAAGTGGTAGTATATATGTGTATATACATCATATATGCACACATATATGTATGCGTGTATATGAGGGATTACCCAGGGGGAAAAAAGGCAATTTTTTCAAAGCTATTTAGTTAATTTTTTAACAAAACCAACTGTATCATCTTCAAAGTTACCCCACTACACTTAATACATTTGTCAAATCTGCGATTCCATTCTTGGAAACATTTAAAAAACTCATCTCTTTGGAGACTGGCAGCACCTTCCTCGTTTTCCCTTCACCTCTTCTAGGTCATCAAATTGCTGTGTTTTCATGCCCCAAACTGACACACTGAGATGGCTGCGTGAGCAGGTGCATTGTCATGGTGGCTAACCCAGTCCCCCATCTGCCACAAACCAGGCCTTTTTTGTCACATACTGTCAAACAATCTTTTCAGAACCTCTAAATAGAAAGCTTGATTAACAGTCTGACCTGGTGGAACAATCTCCAAATTCACTACAAGCCGACACTTTCCTCTGTTCGGGAAGTTGACAGACATTTAGAATGAGTTTGTCATCAATAGACATCTCACCTATTTTGAAACAAGAAAATCACTTGTACACTTGAATTTTCCCATAGCACTTTCCTTATAAGCTGTGTTCAACATCACAACAGTTTCCTGAGCAGGAAACAAAATTTCACAGCCTCATGCTGTTCTCTTAAATCGGCCATCACAAAAAAGGAACTTTAAATGACACTGCTTCGATGAAAAAATTCACTGTGACCAGAGAGAACCTTCCCAGGTGATGGCCCTGGGTGCACTACCTCTGAGTGAGTTGCTCAATGCTTGCCTAGCAAGCAATGTGTACTACAAAAGCAACCCCCAGGGAGCTTTATTCTGTTTTTGTGTCTTGTTTTTTTTTTTAGCACCCCCTCATATACACATATGCATCATATATTTATACACATATATATGTACACACATATAAAGATAATATATATTGTTTGTGTATGTACACATATATATGTGTGGCTGGTGTATATATATATGGCTGATATGTCTATATGTATGTATGTATATGTATATATATATATATATATAGAGAGAGAGAGAGAGAGAGAGAAGTTTATATCAAGAAATAAATTTATATCAAGCAAACCCAGTCTAATTTAAGAAGCTAATCTGGAGGCTCTTCCCTACTCACATGGGGCTGTTAGACTGAAGGCTTTTCTTCACTCACGTGGCGGCTAGGAATCAGCGCAGAGGCAGAAGGGCAAAGCCAGAAAATCGTGGCCAGTGGATCACAGATAGATGGGCAGAGCAGACGTTATGGTAGGCTACGAAGAGCCCCCGGGGTGGGCAGGCCATATCATGAGCAGCCAGCCCACACCCCCCAAGAAGCCAGACACCAGCTCCAGGCCAGCAGGAATCGAAGGAGAAAGAAGAGAGTTCTTCACTGGTCTCTTTTGTGGATATCAAATAGGCCACCACCACCCCCACCCCCCCCAAGGAAACATCCTCAGGCCGTTGCTTGAGTGAGAGGTAGCCTTGCTACCCAGGGCAGCCTGGAATGGTTTGCCTTATGCTAGGCCTAAACTCGAGGATCCCGGCCCAGCCCAGCTAACACAAAACCTAAGTACCACAAGCCCTCCCAGGGGGCAGGCGGGAGCCACTGAAGGGTTCAGCGGCGCAAGAGAAGAAGGCAAGTACCTGTAGATTAAGTTAACTCCCAGTTCTTTCCTGTTCACAGCTGCCAAGGAGGGGCTGTTGGCTCTGCAGAAGGAGCTATACAAGATCACCCTGCCGGACATCAGTGGGGACGCCAAGGTCAAACACATAGGCAGTGTGAACTATAAGTTCCACAGGTGGGGCTCTCCTTTCTACTGGGGCCCCACGAATGAGTCCAGGGACCTCTCTGGGGCAGAGAGAGGGGTCAGTCCTTTCCAGGAGGAGTATAGAAGGTTGTTCTGGGAGGAAAGTTAGCACCTCTATTTATGCATGTGACAAATATTAATGGAGTCCTACCCGCTGGGCTTCCTGGCCTTCAATTTCCTTCTCTGTAAAATGGGGCTGCTGCCGAGACCCCCACCGTTGCTGACTGGTACTTTCTTCAGCGTGACAATACAGGTTCCAGTCTGGCCACTGCATATACTCTGGGGAGGAAGTACAGTCGCCCAGCTGTTAGTGCTGGGGGAGTCTGGGAAAACTTCCTAGATGGGTTGGCATTTGAACCAAGCCTTCAAAGGAATCGAAGGAGAAAGAGGAGAGTGAATAGCCGATACTAAGAAAGCACCCCAGACATTTGTTGAAGATGAGGACTGCAGGGCAACCCCTGCATCACACCCCTCCCTGCTCAGTGCCATCGACTGTTTTATGCACTCCATCCTTCGCTCATGCAGTCCACTAGCAACCACTGAGTATCTGTATTCCAAGGAGCCCTGGTGGGGTAGTGGTTGTATGTTGGGCTGCGAACCTCAAGGTCAGGAATTCAAAACCACCAGCCACTCCTGGGGAGAAAGATGAGGCTTTCTACTCCCATAAAGAGTTACAGTCTTGGAAGTGTGAAAAGTGGATATGAACGGGCAGTTAGACTCTGTCAGCTCCGTGACCGTGAGTTGGACTGTATCCCAGGCAAAGGGAGTGAGTGAACCCGGCTCATTCTTCCTCCCCCGACTGCCCTCCCCTCCCACGCTGTTTATTCCTTCTCCTCCCCCTGGTGAGTGAGAGTGGAGGGGGCTGGGGACAGGAGCCACAGACCCCAAGGGGGAATATCTCTGGCCCTCCTCAGGATTCTACCCAGAGCATGAAGTCTGTGGGTTCTCATCCTGCCCCTGTGATCATAGGCACTGTGCAGGCCTCCTGTGAGGCTCCAGGGTGCGCTGTGACCCCTAGCCGTGGAGTGAGTGAGCCCCCCTGACACAGGCATGAAGGAAAGGGTGTGATGTGGTCCAGGTCGGGCGTGGGCGTGGCCTGTCTGAAAGCGGGGGTCCGCTGGCCTCTTAGACACGATGGGGGTGGGCATTTGGGAGGATGCGGTGCAAAGGCGGAAGCAACGTTTGTTTCTGGAACTGTTGGACCCAGACCCGAAGGAGCTGCCTTCCTCCCTCCCTCCCTCCGTCCCCTCTCTCTGCAGCATGGAGATCCGAGGCTGTGAGCTGCACAACTCGGCCCTGAAACCGCTCCCGGGCCAGGGCCTGAGCCTCACCATCTCGGACGCCTCCATCTGGGCCCGGAGCGATTGGAAGGTGCGCAAGCGGTTCCTGTAAGTGAACTGGGCTCCCTGGCTCTCGGGTTCTGGGACCGTGGGCTTCACCAGCCTCCTCGGCTTCCATGTGTGCCCGTTGTTGCTGCTGTCCATTCTCAGCTCCTGTGGAATCGGCATGCACACGAGTCGAGTGGTGCCGGCCCCACGCCACCCCCACAATCAGTAGGGGTTCAGACCGCTGGGTGTCACGGGACTTGTACTCTGATTCTCCCAAGTACGTCTCCAGGCCTGTCAGTCCGGTCCAGCTTAGTCGGGAAGCTCCACTGAAATCGATCAGCCACATAGCAAAATGCCCGCCTCCTCGGAGAGCTGGGCGGAGGAGCTGTGGGTGAGGTGCACTGGGGGAGCCAACCCAAGGCTCCTGCTTGGAAGGCAAGCCACACACTAGGGAGCCCTGCTGCTGTTGCGAGTTCCCCTGGAATCGATCTTGACGCTCTGTAAGTGTCGTGGTTAAGTGTTGGGCTGCGAGCCTCAAGATAAGAGGTCAAAACCACCAGCCTCTCCTGGGGAGAAAGAGGAGGCTTTCTACTCCCATAAAGGTCTGTGAGGTCTTCAAGACTGTGAGCTCCTGGAAGCAGATCACCAGGGCTGTCTTCTGGGCTACCCCTGGGTGGGTTTGAACTGCCAACCCTTTTGTCAGTAGTCAAGTGCTTAACTGATTGTGCCACCAAAGGACTGCAAAATTACAATAGGTCCCACCAAGTCATGTTGCAGAAAAGTTGCACTGATGTTATTTCCCTACAGTAACGCCTCCTTATAGCAGTCTCTCTGTTACTCATACCTTCGCCGGCTATGGTGGCACTGTAAATTAGATCTTGGGCCACTAACCACAAGGTCAGTGGTTCAAGCCCACCAGGTGCTCTTCAGGAGAAAGATGAGGCAGTCTGCCCCCATCAAGATTTACAGACTTGGAAACCCTGTACAGGGTCACTATGAATCAGAATTTTATCTTTAGTAGCTTTTCCTATGTTTATTTGTTATTGAACTTCCTGTTCATATCCTTTGTGTTAGGCTGAGCTGTCTAGAGAAATAAAACCAGTGACATGTGTGTGTGACTACACACATACACATACATATACATATATGTGAAGAACTTTATATCAAGAAGTAATTTTCTTTCAAGAAGGCAGCCCAGCCCAGTCAACTCAAGTCCATGAGCCCAATGCTAGGCATGGTCCTCTTCAGACTCCTGGAGCCACAGGCTGATAATGCAGAAAGGTGAAGCAGGAAACGGGGAGCGCACAGGCCAGTGGATGTAGTCTTGTGGATCCAAGGCCGATGGGAAGACAGCAGGGCAACAGCTCCCAGGGTGGGACAGCTACCGGGGCCATCCCTGGAGGCAGACACAGAGTCCCAGTTGAGGAGGAAGGCGGAGGACTAGAGAAGGAGACCCTAGTCTCCCAGTGTCTCTCTTATAAAAAGGCCACACCCCCAAAGAGGCATCATCAGACTACCACCTGATTGGCAGGTTGGACTCCACCCCAACGCTTTCACATAGGTGCAAGTTGACATAAAATCCAACTGCCACGTCTTTGCGGTCTCTCTCTCTCTTTCTTTCCCCTTTAAGGAATGTTTGTCTTTTTCTTGTTGTGTAAGAACTTTCTCCTTGTTTAATAAGGAAATCAGCCCATAGACTAAGGAAATTACCTCTTTGGCTGACTTGCAATGCAACGTGCCTTTTTCACTTTGCATGCGGCATTCTTTTGTTCCCCAACGTTCTAAATGTTCCTGCTGCCAAGTCTGTCTGGAGTCCCAGTGGTGCTGGGGGTTATGGGCTGTTCACTGAAAGATCAGCGGTTCAAACCCACCAGGTGCAGGGAAAGTTGGGGCAGTCGGCTTCTGTAAAGATTTATGGAGAAGTTCTACGCTGTCCTGTAAGGTTGCTATGAGTCAGCATCAACTCCACGCAATGGGTGAGGGGTTGTGGCAAGCTCAGCAACCACTTCCTTTACGCCTTCTGAGACTGGGGCCCTGCCTGGAAAACACTGTACCCGTCCCTGACCATAAGGACCTGCACCCAGACTTTCTTATCGCTCTCTCGGGCTCATCTGTTCTTAAACCTTTGTTCCATCTGGCATTTATTTGGGGGTAAGAATTGAGCTTTATACCGACCCCACATAGTGACAGACTCCAGTCTTGGAATCAACCACTGCTTCTCTGATCTTATCCAGGAGACTACGAGGTTCCTTTGACCTGAGTGTCAAAGGCATCACCATTTCAGTCAACCTTCTCTTGGGCAGCGAGCCTTCTGGGAGGCCCATGGTCACTGCCTCCAGCTGCAACACCAAAATCTGCGATGTAGATGTGGACATCTCGGGAGATTTGGGGTAGGTCACCCAGGACACCGGCCAGTTTGATCTCAGGTTTCCACCCACAGCCTGCTCCGAGGCCTGGCCTCTGATAAAAGTAGGAGCATCAGACCCTGAATATCCTGGGCACGTGAGGTAATTCTCTGAGGACAGGGGCAGATTCAAACCAAGGATATTAATCAGTCGTTTCAACTCAAAAAAAGCAAGTTTCAGGGGCCCTTCATCAGGCAGATGAGACTTAGTTGTTAGGGCCACACAAAGACTTTTTATCAGAGGAGAATTTGTGAAAAACTATACAAGGTTAGGTGGTGCTGTGGGTTAGGCATTAGGCTGCTAAGCACATGGTCAGTGGTTCAAATCCACCATCTGTTCCTAGGGAGAAAGATGAGAGTGTCTGCTCCTGTGTGGATTTATAAACTCAGAAACCCTGTCTAGGGTCACTATGAGTCAGAATCGGCCGCCATGGCAATGGGTTTGCTTTTGGGGGGTGGGGAAGATCATGCCATCTTTTTGAGTTTCAGTGCCCTTGATTATAAAATTCAGATTCCCAAGCCTTGCCCCCAGATCTACTAGGGTGAGCCCTGGGGCTGGGAATCTGGATGCACTCAATTGGATGAGTGTGCAGAGGGTGGGGACTCTGCGTTTTCAACCTCCACTCCCTAACTCCAGGAGGTAGAGGGGAGGGCCCCCTTTGGTTTAGCCAGAGGGCTCACCTTGCCTTGAGGCCTTGGGGCTCAGAGGCAGACAGCTGACTGTCCACTGCTGTCCTCTTCCCAGGTGGCTGCTGAATCTCTTCCACAACCAGATTGAGTCCAAGTTCCGGAGCTTGCTGGAGAGAAAGGTCAGTTGGTCCAAGTCTCTGGGTGTCTCCTGAGCCACTCAAGGCCTGGGCAGAAGCCCTCATTGATCTCTGGTCCTGGACAAATCATGGTAGCGATTCCCATATACTTGAGTCCACGGTCCAGAAAGGACAAATCATTTGCCCAAGTTCACAGAAGGTGTACATCAAAGCTGGGGCTCACACAGACATCAAGTCAGTCCAACTAGGCAGAGCCTGCATGTCCTTGTCCACTCCCCAACACCACCCTGCATTCCATGAGGGCCTGCCGGGAAACTGCTGCTCAGGTGCCTGCAGAGTCCAGACAGGTAACTTTGGGGTGTGCTGGGGACTAGGTGAGAACTGGTCTTCTTATATATGTACATGTACCCCCAGGCCCCCTCACACAAGGGTAAGTCCAAAGATATTGCTACAAAATCATAGAAATCTTTATTACACAAAAACGTCACAGGTAACCCCACTGTTTCTGAACATCTTCTCCATCTAAGTCTATTTGCTCCTGGAGGCAGCTTTTCCATGTTTTTAACCTTTCCTCAAAGAATCCCCTGCTCTTCCATTCAGACCACATAAGAAGGCAGTTGGGGCATCTGTCAGAGACTCAAGCATCATGTTCTTCGAGTCTGGGGCACAAGAAGAAATCTGAAGGGGTGTGATCAGGCTGCAGGGCAGATGTGGGGCGGTTTCCTGATGAACTTCCCATAGGACAGCTTCAAAGAATGAACAGGTCAATTGTTGTGATGGGAAAAAAATTCCCTCTGATCAACTTTCCTTGCTTCCCCCCCCTCACCAATGGAGTCTTTGAATCTCTTCAGAGTCTTCATAAGAAGCCCCATGATTCCCCTGTGTCCTGAGAGAAAGTCTATCCACAGGACCCCTTTGGCATACCCCAAACAGTCGCCATCACCTCCTCAGAGCTGGCCTCTCTGCCTTGAAGTTAACCGGCTCAGCAGATCCCCTCAGGGCCACGGTTTTGAGTGGACCTTCTTTGTGAAGGCTCCCTAAGGAGACTAAGATGGGTGTGTCACTGAGAACACCTGTCCATAGCCAGCCACTCATCACAGACATGTTTCAACACATATTGTGTGGACTAAAGCTGTGCATGTATGAGCTGGGGCCCGAGTAGCAATACTTCTTGACTTGCCCTCATAGATGTAGATATATAGTGTGAGATCGCCACATCTTATCATCTCTGGCTAACACAGATTCCACAGTAACACCCAGTTCCCCCAAATACTCATTTCCCCGCGAAATCTCTTTTCTAAGGCATTGTACACCCAGAGCTGTGACTGTAGCAATGACTCTTTGTGGAAAGGAAAAAGTAAGGAAAAAGGGGAAGCTCTCTCTGTTTCTGGTCACCCCTTCTCTCACGCTCCACCTTCCATCTGTTTCTCCCTTGCTCCCCGTATCCCATCGGTTTTGGCTTTGAGTGCCCCCTGGCTGTAAATGGGGGAATTACCAACAGATCTCCAGCAAAGAGGTAGCCAACTGCTCTGGGTTCCTTTTCTGATTCTGGGGCCCTGGGGTTCAGATGAGTTCAGAAAACATGCCAGCCTCCTTTCCCAGGCATCCACTTGCTACACTTCCATGCCATTCCAAATGGGGCAGATCCTTTCTGCAGTCTGAATGTTGGCTCCCTCAAATTGATGGTGGTGAAATTATGCTTAGAAATAATACTTCAGAACAATACGAGTGCATTACCATTCATTAAGATCACCATGGAAATAAGTTACCCTGGCAACTATTGTTTTGGTACGTTACTATCAACAATGTTATACAGAATGTATTCTTGTAACCAAATTTTATTTATAGTAATACCGGCTACTATGTTTTGAAATGCTGTCTGCCTGGGAATAATGTGCTCACACTTTTTATATGCAGTCCATTGAACCATGGAGCCCAGGTGGACTAGTGGGTTACAAGTTGGGCTACTAACCACTAGGTCAGCAGTTCGAAACCACCAACTGCTCCATGGGAGAAAGATAAAGTTTTCTACTCCCTTAGAGTTACAGTTTCTGAAACCCACGGGGGCAGTTCTATACTGTCTTATAGGGTCACTGTGAGTCCGAACTGACTTGATGGCCTTGAACTTGGCTTGATTGGACGTTAGCCACACCCTCAGGGAGCAGGTACCATGTTCCACATTGGACAGGGGGACCTCAGAGAGGGGACAGAACTGGCTATATCTGCTTCTGTCCCTGGGTCCTGTGGGGAAGGACTGGGAAGTAGAGGGTCTCCACAAAGTTCTCACCACTGGCGGGAACTGAAGGGGATTGGAAACCAGGCTCATCCAACACAGCTCCCCCCTCAGGCCTGACTGTGTGTCTGGGACGGAGCCCCTCTTGGCCTCCCCACTTGTCATTGGGCATGGGGAATCCAGGCTCCAGGCCCTGGGATGCCCTGGTGGACCACCTGAAACGGAAAATCAAGGGCACAGTCTTGGGCGAGGCCAATCAAGTTTCCTGGCTCCCTGGAAGCCAACCATAAATGATCCTCACTAGCCCGGAAACTGGGGAGGCTGCCAAGGGAGGTTAGGATTTAACCCTTTGTCTGCCAGCTCCTGGTCTCCTTCCTCGCCACTCCCAGGCCTGATCCGTTCGGATGCATAGCAACCCCCTGTGAGAGAGGAGAGCTGTCCTCCTTGGATTCCTAGGCTGTCTCCCTCCTCCAGAGCCAGCCTTTGGTCTGTGGCAGAATGCTTAACCATGGGGCCACCAGGGCCCCTTGATGGCCCTTGAAGCTTGCCCTCAAAAAGTTACTTCTTCAGAGAAACCATCTGTGACCACCACCACCCTCCCCATACCCCTCAGCTAGGCCAGGACCCCATTGCATGCCCTAGGAGCCCCCCACATCCCTGACCACTGTATAAGTGGGCCCATTGGCTCTTGCAGGGGTAGTGGGTTTCATCAAAAATGATGCTTAAGTGATAGCGACCAAATGGAAAAACCAGACTCACTGCTGTAGAGTTGGTGCCAACTCACAGAGATTGAGTAGGGCAGGGTCAACCCGCCTCTCTGAGTTCCCAAGGAGTGGTTTCGAACTTCTGACCTTGCGGTTGGCAGCCCAATGCGTAACCACCAGACAGTGTCTGGATTAATAGTTTCTTAGGGTTATGGCAGGGGAGGTTGGGGAAATGGGGAGCTATTACTAAGATGTCTGAAGACTGGTGGTGCTGATGGCTGCACCCCTCTTTTGCACATGTGTAAGCCACGGAAATGCACACAGTGTGGATGCTGTGTTGGTAAAAGTGTAAAACAGAAGACACTCAAAATCCCCTCCACACAAAGGCAAAATGAATATTTACGTAGAAATTCTGCATATTTTAAGATGCCGTCTCCACAGGCAGCCGACGACAGTAGCGGGTTGTAAGTTAATTTGCCACTTTTTGATGTAGGGCCCGGAGCTCGTCTTTGGAAATAGTTTGCTGACCGCCCTGGCGTTGGCATTAGGGCAGCGGTTCTCAACCTGTGGGTCGAGACCCCTTTGGGGGTTGAAAGACCCTTCTTTCACGGGGATTGCCTGATTCATAACAGTAGCAAAATGACAGTGACAAAGTAGCAATGAAAATAATGTTATGGTTGGGGTGGTCCCCACCACATGAGGAACTGTATGACAGGGCCGCTGCTTTGGGAAGGAGGAGAACCACTGCATTAGGGGTTTATACAACCACGGATGTACAGACATTTACAAAGCAAGGACGGGCAGAATCCTTTTAGGATGTTATGATGGGTTTTTTTCCCCTGAGCTTTTCTTAAGTCTAATCCACACCTAGTTTTACAGTAGGGGTGGGGACAGGGGCAGCAACTCACCTTTCCACCGCATTTATCTCAGATTTTCCAAAATCAACTCCGCTCTCGGTCATAGTATGTCCATCTACATAATTTATGTATTATGTCCCCTAATGAATGATTCAAGTGATGACATGCAGAAGTGCAACACACAGGTTTGAAGACACCCATCACCTTCTCGGGGGAAGCACTCAGCTCTCCTGGTCGTGGCACTGCTTGTGTACCTGTGGCATGGGAGTGCCCTCTGAGATGCAAGCTTCCCCCTACCCCCCCCACCCCCCGCACCCCCCTACCCCCCAGGCAAACGGGATCAAGAGTAACCCAGCCAACCTGCTAAGAGAGGATCGGGAAGAAGCTTCTGCACTCATTCTACATTGTTCTGCGTGATGATTTCGATGGAATGTCTAGTTCTGCTATTAAACATTACCTTCTTATAGGGCCAGTGTGTTTGGGATTGTTCCCGTGTCTTTGGTACCTGGCACATTAAAAAGCTTCTATATCTGGCAAATCGTTGGCCAACGGGTGAAGAGGTGAGCTGCAGCGAGCATGCCACTGGACCCAGCTGAGGTGCTCATGCAGCTTCCCCTTTCCCCTTTCCCCCCAGCTTTGTGAAATGGTCCAGAAATCAGTGGCCTCTGACCTACAACCTTATCTTCAAACTCTGCCAGGTAAGGAGCCCGCTCCCCCACGGGACACCGAGTTTCTGTTCATTTTCATAAGAGCATAGACATCCTACGGAGTAAACGGTAAGTGGGACAGAAGTACAAAAGTAAACCGTGAAAGTGCTTTTGCCTCCCAACTTGGCTTTCTGTTTTGAGTTATCCATTCAAATATAAGTACAAGCAGGTGAATCTGTATTCATAGACATATCTCTTTTGTTTATGATTATATGTGCTTAATTATGAATATACACCTGCCGAAGAGGATAGTTTTACTCATTCCTTCTTGATTTGGATGCCTTTTATTTCTGTTTCTTGCCTGGTGGCTCTGGTTAGGACTTCCAGTACGGTGTTGGGCAGCTATGGCGACAGTGGGCAGCCTTGACTTGTTCCTGACCTTGAGGGAAGGCTCTTGGTGTGTAGCCATTGAGTATGATGCTCGCTGTGGGGCTTCCACCCTTTATGGCATCCAGGAATGCCCCTTCAATCCCTCACTGACTGAGGGCTTTTATGCTGAAAAGGGTCTTGTCAAAGCACCAGCTGAGATAACCACGTGGTTCATTTCCTAAATTCGATTCAGATGATGCACTTCACTGATTGGTCTCCCCATGTGGCGCCACCCTTCCCCTGCTGGGAGGGACGCTTTGCACTCAACCCCGGTGATTTTCCCTTTGCTGTTTTGGGGTTCCGTTTGCTGGTCTTTTGTTGAGAATTATTGGTCTGCAGCTTTCATTTCTTGCTGCGTCTTTGTCTGGCTTTGGTAGTGGGACAATGTCAGCCTCCGACAACGAGTTGGGAAGTAGTCTCTCCTCTTTTTTTTTTTTTTTTGAGGGGGTGGGGCAGGAGGAGAAAAGTGTAGTAAGGACTGGCATCATTTCCGTCAATGATGATAGGATTCCAGCCCTCATTGTTTTAATAGCTGTGTAGTATTCTAACATTTGGATGTGCCTTCGTGTCTTTAATAAGGTTCCAGTGGATGGTTGTGTAGGGTTTGGTCATCTTGACTTGTTTCCTGGGGCTGCCGCAACACAACACAAAACACCACAAATCCGGTAGCTTCCATAAGAACAGGAATCTGCTGCCTCCCAGTCCTGCGGGCTGGAAGTCCTCATCAGAACGTAGGCCAGGCTGATTCTGCAGGACTCGGAGAACATGCCCGCTGCCTCTCTCCTGGCTTACGGTAGAGCTGGCATTCCATATCCTGCAGCTGTAGCAGCACATGACGTCCTTCCTCTGCCTCCCTGTCTATGTCTCTTCCCAGTCCTTAGGATTAGGACCCACCCTACTGAAAGGATGGCCTCGTGCTACCCTGACTGATTCCCTCTTGCTAAAAAGAGTCCCATCCACAGCTTCGCGGGTGAGGGCTCAGGCTATCTTTTGGGGATGGAAAAGAGAGGGTGATGCAATCTATCACCTATCTTTTGCTGTTGTAGTCAGGGCTACAGGGGGGCGGGGAGTCCCTGGCTCATGCCTCTTTGCCCACATGTGCAGGTGAACTTCTAGAACAGCAGTTTTCAACCTTCCTAATGCCACAGCCCTTTAATACAGTTCCTCATGTGGTGGTGACCCCCAACCATAAAATGATTTTCATTGCTACTTCATCACTGTCATTTTGCTACTGTTATGAACCGGGCAGCCCCTGTGAAAGGGTCCTTTGACCCCCAAAGGGGTCGCGACCCACAGGTGGAGAACCGCTGCTCTAGAGTCACCGTGCACAAGAACCCAGGATCCAGGGCACACACTAGATATATTAAATCTGCACACCGCCTGGGACAGTCTCTTATGCCTGGCTCTCAGGTCCCCTCATCGTCATTTTTTTGACACCCCCATCAGCTAGGGACCCAGGTATGCCCAACAACCATGGACCTCTGACCCACTCAGGCCTGATATCGGAGGGGGGCGCTAGGGGACCTCGGGACCAGGCCTGGCTTTCCCCGCTCTTTGGCTCATGTGGATAGAAGGCCAGTTTCTCCAGTGGTCAGGGCCTTGGTTGGAAAATGAGAGAAGGATGCCAAGGAGAGTTCCTCCCATTGAGTGGCTACCCCGGCATGATGCTGCGGATGTGGAAGGGCTGCCAGCCTTGGGCTGCTCCCACCCCGTGTGTGCGCGCGCGTGTGAGAGATAGATGAGACAGACCGACAGACCCAGGAACCTGCTCAGGCCCCGGGTTGAGCACCTGCCCACCCCCACACCCAATGGGGCCAGAGAACTCAGGTAGCCCATTCATCGAGAAGCAGCTCTTTGCCAGCACTGGGCTGGGTGGAGGGTCTTGCAGTAGAGAGAGCCAGAGCCTGGAGTTCTGCAGAAAGTCGGGGAGGGGATTGGGTTAAGCACCACCCTCCCCACTTCTCCATCAGCCAAAGGCTGAGCTGGCCCTCTCCTGCCTTACAGTCACAGCAGAGATCGACAGCTTCGCTGGCATTGACTACAGCTTAACAGGGGCCCCTCGGGCAACGGCCCAAATCCTGGACGTGATGGTTAAGGTGAGGGGCCCGGGAGCTGTGGTGGGTGGGTCCAGCCCCAGCTTGGCATTTCCACAGGGTCACCCTTTTCTGGAGCCCTGGAGTCCCCAGGGCTCCAGATCTGTTCTCATCTCCCCGGTGGTTTCAGTTGTGTTGCGCTCAGGGTGCTACTGGGTGGTGGATTGATGGGGGGGCGGTGTCCTTGGAAGTTCCTGTCCCTTCTTTCCCTCCCGGCCTTGCTCACCACGCAGGGGGTGGGAAGGAGCTGGCCAGCAGGTCATGCAGGTTGATAGATCAAAGATTCTGGGAGCTTTTCAATAAAGGGCGCTGGAGCCCCTTTGATGGTAGCATTCCAGGGAGGGAGCTCCAGCCAGTGCCCCTTCACCAGGCTAGGTAGGCCACCCAGCGCAGATCCAACCCTGGAATAAACTTCAACAAGTCCCAGTGGACCCTGTTTCCTTCCCCAGGGTGAAATCTTTAACCGAAATCAACGCTCTACCGTTGCTCTCCTGGCTCCCGTCATGACCCTTCCTGAGGAACACAACCGAATGGTCTACTTTGCGGTCTCGGATTATGTCTTCAACACAGCCAGCCTGGTCTATCACGAGGCAGGGCATCTCAACTTCTCCATCACCGATGACATGGTGAGGATGGTGCAGCAGATTGCACTGGCTGCCCATGCGCCCTGCCCTCCTTTCCTTCTCACCCCACTGGCATCAGTACAAATAGTAACTGATGACCGAGGGATGGGGGGGGGGGTGTAGACCCAGGGAAAATAAAGTTAGCTCGATTTCCCCTTTCACTTTGGCTGCTAGGAAGCTCACAACCAAACTTCAAGCTCCCTCATAACAACCAAGGAAGCTGGAAGTCAGGGGGTAGGGAAGGTTTGTATGAATGAGGCAGGATCATGGATGTCCTCACAAATGCATAGAGTTACATAAAACAGGAATTAAAGACCAAGTGGCAAGTAAAACATAATTCTGAAGGTCCATACACTGATCTTGTTTGGGGGCTTCCTTGGAGCCGAAGTGAAAAGGGACATGAGTTGGGATGCCATCTTGGAGCAAGAGACGGGGGCTTCCTGGCACTCTGCTCTCCAACAACTGTCTCTCAAGGCACTTGGTATGAGAGAGACTGAATTTGGTAGGGCATTGAATCTTGGCTATTCTTCCGTGTTTCTGGGTTTCAGAAAGTGGTTTCTGAAGCTCACTGGGACAGTGGTGGCCTCGTGGATGATCCGGGCTGGTGGGGGAAATGGTCTGTTCCTACATGGCTGGTCTAGTTCCGCCCCAGTGATCGGTTGGGGACCCTCGGGTGGGCGGATGGAATGGCTTTATGTCCTTTCTATTGTCTCCCCGCATCCACAGCCTTCCACGTCTATGATCATGTTGACACACCCACCACACTTGCGCCACAGGCCCGCTCCCCTCTCTTAGTGGCTGAGATGAAAACTAATGTCCTGTATGAGCATGTGCGTTGTGCGAGGCCTTGGGCTACCTGCCTCGAACAGACTGTCACTGAGCCCTCCCAGTAAGTGGGGTCTTTTGCGACCCTCATTGTGTCGTTGAGGAAGCTGAAGCTCCGAGTGGTGACGGAACCGGCCTGTGACCACACAGGGACCAAACCTGGCCTGTGTGACTGCAGGTTGGGGCCCAGATGTCACCACCCCCTAGGAGAGCTGCCAGGCCCCAGGGACTCATGTGTTCATGGAAGATGCGAGCGAGCCTCGCTTCACTCTGGGTAACCCCAGGCAGTTAGGAAGCTGGTCTCCAGTATTCTCCACTTCCTGCCTTTGACCTTCCATGCCCTGAAACACCTTTGTGCTTCTGCTGCAGGTCCCGCCGGACTCTCGAATCCGACTGACCACCAAGTCCTTCCGACCCTTCATCCCCCGGGTAAGCCCTCCCTCTGCCCTTGATGGTGTAGGCTGAGCCCGTTGGACCTCACAGAGCCTCTTTAGAACCTCCATGCCCCTCTCAGCTGCCCGAGAGACTCCAGGGAAGGCACCGTGCTACCAGCTTCAAGGCCCGTGTCTTCAAAGCTCCAACAACAGGTGCCCGAGCACCATAGGCATCTTGTGGGGCCACAGGTGGCATCTGCCAACCTCAAGTGCAGCCAACATGTTCCACAGAATGTGCCCCAATCAATAACATGTATACTTGGCTGACCGGAGGCCAGGTACTGTCCATGGCTCTTTAAACCTGGTCATTTTTTACACGGACAGTAAAGCCTCCTGGTACAAGATACAAAAGGTTATGGAGTGAAAAGTCTCCCTCCCTCCCACTCCAGTGCCCTAACCATCTGGACCCCACTGATCATGTGCACCCTGCTGGTGAGCTCATGTGCACCATGCTAGTGAGGCTGGTGGTGCACACGGCAACTGCCGCCCATGCTCCCTCACGTCTGGCACACTGACGAGGCAGGAAGTGCAGGCCGTTTTGCACCACCCTTCTTGCCTCGTAAGATCTGGCAGATGAGGCCATGGTGGCACAGTTTGTCCAGTGGTGCTGGTAAAGAATCTTGAATGTACCATGGTCTGCCCAAAGCACCACCAGCTCTGTCTTGGAAGAAGTACAGCCAGAATGTTCTCTGGAGGAATGTAGATAAGCACTTCCTTACTCTTTTGATCTCCATGTTGTTCCTGCTGCTAGGTCCTGACTCCCAGTGACCCTCTAGACTATCAGCCTCCCAATTGTTCTTCTGTCTGAGAGCATGGTTACAGTCACTGTGTCAATCCACCCCCCAAGGCCTTCCTCATCCCCACGCCCCTCCACTTGGCCAAACGTGATGTCTGTCTCCAGGGACTGGTCTCTCCTGAGAAGCAGGTCCCAAGGACATGAGACAGAGTCTCCTAGGGTTTTCCTGTAACTCTTTTCGGGAGCCATAAACCCCATTTTTCTCCCACAGAGAAGCTGGTGGGCTAGAACTGCTGACCTGGTTGGTAGCAGCCAACACGCCATAACCCACTATCCCAGACAGACTGATCCCAGTAGCCACCCATGGACTACGATGCAGCCACGCAGGAGAGGATGCCCACGGTGCCATGGAAAGACATCACGGATATTACTAGGCCTGAGCACAGAGCACCATCAACGCATCCTGGTTTCATCTGCCCCTGTGGAGGCTTTCCTGGCAGACCTGTGGATTTCCTCCTCTTGACCTCATCTCTCTCTTCTGCCCCCAGATAGCCAGGCTGTACCCCAACATGAACTTGGAGCTCCAGGGAACGGTGGTCTCCCCGCCTTTGCTGACCATCAGCCCTGGGAATCTGTCCTTGACGCCCCTGATGGAGATTGAGGCCTTTGTGCTTCTGCCCGACGCCCGCAGGGAGTCTGTCTTCCGGCTCGGTGCGGTAAGGTTCAGGGCCTTTGCAAACACTGTTCCCCTCCCGGCATGCTTTACTTCATTGACTGTCTATCAGCTGGAATTCTAGCTAATTCCTCATCATTGCCTCAGACAGGCCTCTCCTAAATATCCTCATCTCCTTTCATCTTTAGGCTCCTTATCATTTCTACCTTGTGGTTGAGTCTGGGCCATTCTAGAGAAGAGGATATGTGGATCCTTGGCATGCTTGCTCTGCTGGCTGGCACAGTCTGTACTCAACTACTAACGCAAAGGTTGGCAGTTCAAATCCACCTAGTGGCAAATGGAAGAAAGCCCTAGCAATCCATCTCCCCAAGATTGTCATCGTCAGTTGCCACTGAATCCCGTTCTGACTCGTGTTGGCCCATCGGTGCAGAGGAGACCTACAGCATAGGGTGTCCAAGGCCATGACCTTGCAGAAATAGATCCACAGGTCTGTCCTCCAGTCTGCTTCTGCATGGGTCCCAAGAACCAGCCTTTCAGCTAGAAGTCACGTCCAGGGGCTCCTCCTTGAGTTCACGGCCATTGAAGACCTTCCTGAATTGAGTCATGCTCTGACACGCATGGGTCAGAGACAACCCAATAGCTGCGGGTCTCCCTCAGTGTAGGATTAGCCCTTCATTTATTTATTGTACTGACGTGTGTTGCTGTCAGTTGCCTTTGAGCAGATGCTGCCTCATGGCAGCCCCACGTGCCCACAGCAGAACCGCCCCCTCGGGTCTTCAAGGCAGTGACATCTGCAAGCAGGTCACCACACCTGCCTCTGCCAGTCTTTGGGCCAGCAGTCACTGGAATCACTTTGTGAGCTGGGGGGAGGAGGGGCTTGCTATCTAAATCTGAACCCTACCTCACCCCCAAAGGTACATTTCCCAGGCCTCCTTATACTCTGCTTTCAACTGGGTCAGCTAATGGAAGGGGCTGCCAACAGGTGGGGAAGAAGAGAGCTTTCCCTTGGGCAGAATCTCTGTCCGTGGTGGGTTCCTCCTGAGCTCCAGCTTCTGCCAGATAAATCCATTCAGGGGTCCCATAACCCCAAATCCTGTCTGTGTCCCTCCAGTCCTCGTGTGGAAGCAGCTTCTCACCTCTGCTCATTTCTGAATGTCCCTCTGTCTCGCTCTTGGCTGCTCAGCCCTTCCATCTCACGGATCGCACATTCTTTGTAGCAAATTCCTTCTGTGTCTAATATTGAGTGCTGTCTTATTTCTTCATGCGCCCTGTGTAATAGAGAAGGAATTCCTAGTCCCTGCCGCCCTGCTGACTGGGTGGAGAACTTTGCTCTCTTGTTTCAGATTGGATACCGGAAAAGTCAAATCTCTGGCAGGGCCATTGCTCCTAGATGCTATGTTGGCAGTTTGATATGATGTTATCATTACTGACATTTTTGTTGTTGTTGTTGCTGTAAGTGTACTTTTAGTGTACTTTTAGTATTAGTATTACCACTACTAAGGTTGAATCTGAGATCGCTAAGAAATGATCTTTGGAGATCGCTGAGGATGGGAGATGGGTGGTCTGTTCAAAGTTCAACTGCTAATCTACTCAGCAATTTTAAGTGAAGTGTTTGAATCTAAGTTCAAGCATGTACTGAGCACCTGCGCTAAGCCTCCTGGTAGTCTGCAGCTTAGGGACCACGTTTTCTGTTTCAACTCACTGAGCTGATGGTCGAGAAGAGATAGGTGGTCCTCATAGCGGTCCTTCCCGCCCATGATGCGTCCAGTGCTCAGACCTGGTTCCTTCTCCCGGTCTTTCCAGGTCACAAACGTGTCTGCCGTGCTAAGCTTCAACACCAGCAGGATCACTGGGTTCCTGACGCCAGGAAAGTGAGTCACCCTCCTCCCAGCAGGGGGGTCGCACCTGGACTCCCATTCTCGGCAGTTTGGGGTGGGGGAGGTGGGTGGGAGGAGATCTTGCTGACAATGTTGGAGGCCCACCATTTGAGAAGTAAACTTAAATTTCACCCAGTTGGCCCAATATTTTTGCCCTATTGGTCTTCCCCCTACAAACTTCCTTGATACCCACATTTCCAAAGAATTAAAATAGCCTTTTCATTTCCCCATAAAGTTTTTCTTGTGACTTGGATGAAGGTTTACAGGGGAGATCTATTTGCCATTCATATATACATACTTGTCTCTGATTACAATCCCCACAATGTAACATTACGTATACCACTCTCCCATGTGTCTTCTGTCTCCATTCCCCTCTCCCCTAACCCTGCTCGTTTTATTTTGTTTGTTTGTTTACTGTTCATGCTGGGGTGACATGATACTCATTATTGTTTTGATTTGTATCTCTCTAATGGCTAATGATGGGGTGTGTGTGTTTCATATGCTTACTGGCTATCTTCTTTCGTGAGGTGTCTGTCCACGGCCTCTGCCCATTTTTAAATGGGATTGTTCTGGTCTTGCTGAGGTTTTCTGTACGTTTCAGATACCAGTCCCTGGTCCGATGGGTCAGTGCTTTGTTTCCCCCAAGCCGGGGAGTTCTCCGTTTACTCTTTGGGTGTTCACGAAGCATCTAGTCGTTAGGAGGTTCCAGTCCTCTAGCTCATCTTCTGCTATTTGTATGTTTCCCATTAAGGTTTGATAATATATTTATATAAAACCACTTTTTAAAAAATTTATAAATTTTAGACTTCAGTTCTTGCCTTCCAGAAATGATAGATGAAGATTGAGTGAGCCCTTTTACACCCCTCCCCCATACTCCCCACCACCCCCGCCATCACCCCCACTCCCAGCAGACTGCCCCCTATGATTGGATCATCGTTTTAATCTACTTGGTCATCTTTCTCACCCCCACCCCCACACTACTCTTGGCCCTATGTCTCTCAGGTAGGTCTCCTCCTTTCTGGGGACCCTGGATTGCTGACACTTATGGTCAGGGTAATGCTGGAGCCTCTGAATCTTCTCTTTCGTTGTAGGGTACAATTGGAGCTGAAGGAATCCAAATTTGGAGTCTTCAATGTGAGTTTTGTTTTTATTTATGAAGTGCCTAGGTGTTCATTAGAGCCCTGGTGGCATAGTGGTCATGTGTTCGGCTATGACCCATAAGCTCAGCAGTTCAAAATCACCAGCCGGCTCCGAGGGAGAAAGACGGGGCTTTCTTCTCCTATAAACAGTGACCGTGTTGGAAACTTACAGGGGACATTCTCTCCTGACTGTGAGTCCGCATAGACTCGATGGCAGGGAGTTCAGTTTGGGAGGCATTCATTAATTTGAGGTCTTTACCAAGCAATCACGATGGACCCCCGATAGTAGAAAATGGAATAGGCAAAGAACTTGGTTGTAGGTATTGGTCAGCAGTGTGCACTTTTCAAGTCTTTTGCCATGTTATGACCTCTGAAGGATGCTTCCAAAAAGTCATGGGGGAAACGGGCCCGAAAGGAAAATGAACCACCCTGTCCCCGGGTGCGCCTGTGGGGTGCGATGCTGCCTTTGGTCACAGTGTGCCCCTCCTGTTCTCCACTAGGTGGAGCTGTTGGAGGCGCTCATTAACTACTACCTTCTCAACAACCTCTACCCCAAGGTCAACGGTAAGAGCAGACACTGTCCTTTGGAGGAAAGAGAGTTGGGCCTGAAAAAAAGCAGGGGTCTTGTACCAGCCAGGGGACCTTCCGTGAGTCATCTCTGAGTTTCCCTGAGACGGGAGCACTGGTCAGCTTCATATTCCCTTGGTTCCATTGAGGGCTGGGGAGGCTCTTGAAGAACAAGGTACCTCCTGATGCAGGAGAAGGTAGGCCACCACCTCGAAAGACAAGTGAACAACTGAGGGACAAATAAGCATGAGGTCACAAGACAGTCCACCTCTTAGTTCACATTTCCCCATCCAACCCCCTTGTTAAAAAAAATAAAACATATGCCCAGTTTCCATAAGGCCTCTTTTCATTAGACTACACAGGAAACAGGACGGGGTTGGGGGCAGAAAGGTCATGCTCCTACCTCCTTCTCACATGTGCACCTACCTGTTCCTTCCTCCGTAGAGTTTGTGTCTGAGCACTCGGGCCCAGTGTGCCTAGGTTCAAATCCCAGCTCTGCTACTTTCTAATGGTGTGACCTGGGACAACTCCCCGGGCCACTCTGCCTCGGTATCCTTATCTGTAAAGTGGGAAGAGCAGCCCGCCTGACTGCATAGCCTTTTGAGAGATGGGAATGGGAATGTGAGTTTCTGGCAAAGAGCAAACTCTGTTTTTAAAAAAAGTCTTTATTTGTTGCAAATTAACACATCTCCTTAACTTCCAGAAAAGCTGGGGGAAGGTTTTCCCCTCCCTCTGCTAAAGCAAACTGAACTCTACGACCTTGTTCTTCAGACCCACAAGGTCAGTGGGTTGGGGGGAGTGCTCTGAGGATTGGGGTGGGGGTTAGCGTGCCATGTTTGAAGGTCATTATTTGGGGAGGGGGGCACTCCACCAGCACTGCAGTTGGAGAAACCTGGGCTGGGACAGAGGTGCTCCCAGGCACTGCTACCTGTCACGAAGCCGTTTGGTGTCCTTCAGCACGGCACCTCTACTGAGGCAGGAAGTACATGACACAGCACTGCCTGCCACCCCCCCACGAAAGGTGGCCTGAAGGTGCTTCATGACCCACTCATTTTCAAAATCCTGTAAGTCCTGGACTTGACAATCAGTCAGAGTCTAAAAGCCACTTGCAAGATTTTGAATTTTTCCTTTCAAACGTTAGGTGGGAGGGCTTTGTTATAAGTGTATTCCTGGCATGCACTCCCGGCCAACACCAGTGGCATCGCCTCATGACTGATATTTTTGAAATGATTCATAAGCCTATGACCTCACCACGACCATGGTCTATGCGTTAATATGCCTCCTTCCCAGCGTTCCTTTTCTTCCTTTGTCTCTTGCTTTCCCTGTTTGTCTAGCATTGTAAAGGAAATATGTTTGCTTGGTTCTTTTGTTTGTGTAGTTGCTCAGGCCTGTTTTCTTTCTTTCCTTAAACAAAACTCACCCTTAACATCATTCCTCAGACTTGTTCCCTCGCTGCAACTTACTCGCCTCCCCAACAGTGCTGAGCAGCTGGGCACGGTCCCTTCCAGAGAATGAACCACAATTCATGTCACGGTTTCATTACCGAGGATGATGCCTGGGTCTTCACTCATTTGGAGCCCATCTGTGCCCCCGGTTCGGGTTATCTTTTGAGCATAGCATCCAGAAGGTGGGTGATTGTTGGAGGGCTGTGAGCACTAAAAGAGATGATGCATTATGCTGCTACGTGGGCTGCATCCATAATAAACAATAGCTATGAAAGAGGGTTGAGCGCCAGGCAGTGGGTGGGGACATTGAAACAGTGACCAGAACCTGTCTGAGCCCAGAGACCATCAATCCCTGTCCTAGTCCCCTAGGGCTGCCATCACAAAGTGCCATGACGGAGGTGGTTTAAAGGAACTGGACTGTCTCACAGCTCTGAAGGCTAAAAGTTGGAAACCAGAATGTTGGCCATGTTGATTTCTTCTGGGGACTCAGAGAGAGAGAGAGAGAGAATCGGTCCCGTGCCTGTCTTCCTGCTTCTGGTGATGGCTGGCTACCCTTGGCATTCCTTGGCTTGTAGATGCATCACTCCAATCTCTGTCATGGTCTTCACTCTTTATAGCTCTCTGTGTCTCTTCTCCGCTTTCATAAAAGGGATACCACTTTGTGCTGGATTAGGACCTACCCTTCTCCAGCATGGCCTTACGTTAACTGATGACCTCGTCAAAGACTCTATTTCCAAACAAAGTCACCTGTCCCAAGTTTCAGGGGTTAGGACCACAACTTATTTCTTGGGGAGACAGTTCAGTCCACGATAAGGCCAACAACCATTGGCTGTTACAAGTAGAATCAGACAGATCAAAGTAAAAGTTGAGTGAAAATTCACTCCGCTGGCCTGTTTTCTCCTCTATAAAATAGGTTGTGGTCCAAACACAGGTCTCCCTGGGCTCTCATGGAGAACAAGATGAAAGCTTGAAGCACCATGAGACCTGGGAAGAGCCTGGCAGAAGTATTCTCTGCTATCACATTCATTAGGATTTTGAGGCCAATGCTGTCCCTGTGCCTGACCGCCCACGGGAATGACTTGGGCTTGGCCTGAATCCAGAAGTCTAGCCCTTCAGGGTGATGGAAACTTAGCAGGAGGCAGGAGCATAAACTCCAGAAGCTCACAGTTTTATGTTATTCACCAAGGAGAGACAATTTAGGTGACACAAGGACATTTATGAGGCCTTCCAGGAAGCTGCAGCTTGGGAAATGACAGATAAATTGCTGCCTTGGCCAAGGTAGCTGGCAAAAGCTGTGCTTTATGGGGACCTTGGGGACTGAGGCATGCTCTGGATTTATGCACTGACCTGCTTGCTGGCAGCGCGTTTTATTTCCCAAGAATGGGGCTCCTTTTTCAGTTTCCAATGCATCTTTGTAGAGAACACTCTTGGCCATCCTGTCCTGTCTTATCTTTCTTAGGACTTCCTGCTCTTGGGGGCCAATGTCCAGTACACGGCGGACTGAGCACAGAGGGAGAGCTGCCAGTGTGGAGTGGAGGCCGCAGCTGCGTGTGGGATCCCGCTGCATCTTCAGATGTGCAGCACGTTTCCAGAGACGCAGGATGAGAACTCCTGCTCTCAGCTCTGAGGGCAAGGGTCTGCCTGGCTCCTGCTCTCCCGCCAGGGCACACATGCCTTCGCTGGACTCGGGACTGTCTCCAACAGAATGAACCGGCCTCCCCACCCCTTACCCCCACTGGCCTGTAATCTGCTAGAGGGTTGATCCCGGTGCCTAGCAGAGTGCCAGCCCTTAGTAGGTTCTCAATAAATATTTATTGAACAGTCCAATGAAGGAACCACCTGGAACTCTGGATGAACTTCTTGACTGCTTTTATGGCTTGAGTTGGGTCCCCCCCAAAAAATATATGTTGAAAATCCTAACTCTTACACCCGTGGAAACAATCCATTTGGGAAGGTTTTCTGTGTTAGGTCAATGAGGTCATATTACGTGAAGGTGAGTCTTTAAAACCATCATTCTCTGAACTGTGATTATGATTTGAGTGGAAGTTTACAGAGCGAATCTGTTTTCCAGTTGACGATTCCGATCCGTTTTGTTTCAGGTCACTGGTTGCCATTCCCTCAATGTAACAACACTCTCCATTTCCTGTTCCAGCCCCACCCAGCCCACCCCCACCCCACCCCAGCCTTCAGAGCTTTCCCCTTGGCAAATCCTGCCCTTTTGATCTCTAATGGTTCTAAGGAGTGCATTCTTCCCTGGCTTTATTGTTTGCTGGATACATCTGTCTAGTGTGGGCTGAAAGTTGAGCCATGGGGGGGAATCCAGTACCACATTTGAAGGTGACTACGTTTCATAGTCCCAAAGGTTCCACCGGTCTCTATCCAACCAGTAAGCCTGGTGTTTAACATGCTTCTTGTTCTACATTTTTCTCCTATTCGCTCCAAGATCTTCTATTGCAATTCCTTCTAGAGCAATTGATGGTGGGAGCTGGGCACCATCTAGTTCCTCTGGCCTCAAGGTTGTGGAGGCTGAGGTTTCCAGGTTCCTTAGGTCCTCTGGACAAGTTATTGCCCTCTGGTCTCCTTCACTCTTCTCCTCTCCACATGGGGAGAGACCAATGGAAGAACCTTAGATGTCCACTCAGAAGCTTTCTCAGACCCCATTTGATATCCACCCAAGTAGGATGTAGACATGGTCTTTGTGGCTTAGCCTGTGCTTAAACCCATCACTTTTGTGATATAAAAAGAGATTGGGCACAGAAGCAAAGAAGTGCAAATGGGGCCAGATGGAGGCCAGGTGGAGACTGCCTAGGGCCCTCGGAAGAGAAACTGAAAGAGACAGAGACCTGCCCCCGGGGCTGACAGGACCTTCCTTCCTCTGGAGCCCTGACCTCAGCACAGACTTCTGGCCTCCCAACCTGTGAAAGGAGCCCTGGTGGCAGGTGGCTTACGAGTTAGGTTGCGAATCACAACGTTGGAGATTCAAGCCTACCGGCCACTCCATGGAAGAAAAAGGAGGCTGTCTGCTCCTGTGAAGAGTTATAGTCTCAGATACCCTAGGAAGCTGGTCTGTTCCGGGCACAGGGTTGCTCGAACTCAGAGTGGATTTGATGGCGCTGGGTTTTTTACACATAAATGTCTGTTCTTTAAAGCCACTCCCTTGTGCTATTTCTGTTAGAGCAGCACTGGCTGGGAAGATAGTAACGGGATATTAACTTCCACCCTCTTCTGGATGGTCAGCCCCAACAGGGTCTCCAAAGGGTCCACGTGGCCCTTTCTCATCAGTCACCGCAGCAGGAGCTTCAAGGAGAGAACAAGGGCTTCCACGCTGGACCTGGTGCTGATGCCTCCATCTCTCAGACCTGTGTCAGATCTCCAGCCATGGGTTTGCTTCCAGTTCCCCTCTGTTCCCTTGCTTCTCTCCTGCTGAAAACGTGGGAGCCAATCAATCTCCCAGAGCCAAAAAACGCAGCCTCCTGCTGCTTTCCCTGCTGAGGTGGGTGTCAATTAGGAGGAAATGGATCCGTCTAGGTCTTTATTTCAACCCAAATGAAAAAACTCACCCAACTGTTGTTTATGAGCCCCGAGCCTAGAGGAAGGAGCCATGATTTCTAATTATTGAACAATGAGCCCTCTGATCAGACTTAATCAAGAGTCATTGGCAAGTTATGTAGTTGTGCCCCCGGGGCCTAGACATCAGAAGACTCATTTGGTTTTTGTTGTTGTTGTTCATTGAGTTAATGAGCAGATGGATGGAGCTGCGGGCTAGTAGATAATTCACAGGAAGCAGACCCATTTACCCCGGGCATGACAGAAATGCCTTTCAAGATGCATTGTTATGCAGCTGGTGACAGGGGAAGCCATGGCTTTAGCCTCCTCCCTCCTCTTCACATGTGTCCATGGTCCACTATCACCAAGGTCAGTTCTTGGACAAACAGCAAGCCCCACTGTTTCCTTCTCTCAAGCACTTGCAGAAATAAGCTTAGAATTTCTTGGGGTTGGGGGGGGGATGCAGATGATAGTAATATTTAGACAACAATAACAACCATTGCTATCTTGACTCGCAGGGAGACCCTATAGGACCGAGTAGAACTGCCCCAGGGGGTTCTATGTAACTTTAAGGGAAACAGACGACCACATTTTACTCCTCCAGAGCAGCTGGTGGGTTTGCACTGCCAAGCAATCAAGCCTTTACCGGCTGTGCCACCAGGCTCCTGTTAGCCACCTGATGTGGCTGCATAAATTCCGGCGAGATCCAGAAGAGGACATGAAGCAAAGGATGTCAGATGGATCTTGGTCAAAAACTGATCATAAAAAGAAAGCAAGAAATGCCCATCTGTGTTATTGATGGTGCAAAGACATCCAACTGTGTGGGTCATAACAAACGATGGAGAATGTGAGGAACAGCGATTCCAAAAGACCTCATTGTGCGCACGCAGAACCTGTACACAGACACAGACCAGGAGGCCAACGTTCAGACAGAACAAAGGATTCATGAGGGTTTAAAACCAGGAAAGGGGTGCGTTAGGGTTGTAACTTTTCTCTCTCCCTATCCAGCTGTGCGTTAAGCAAAGAATCCATGAAAGCTGGGCTGCTCAAAGAAGGGTGAGGCATCGGAATTGGAGAAAACTCCCCAACCACCCTCCGTATGCAGATGCCACCACTTGGCTTGCGGAAAGCAATTGAGGCATTTCCTGAAGAAGACCCAAGACTTTAGTATGGATTACACCTCACCATTGTGCCAATGGTCTCCAGAGCAAACACAGTCTAGGTGGTGGTTAGGTGCCCTTACATTGGCTTCAGCTTAGAGCCCCCATCTATCTATTCAACAAAAGGAAACACTACCCAGTCCTGCCCCAAGATGGTGCCTAATTGTTGTTTGTGCCCATTGATGCAGTCACTGTACAACCCATGTCTTCTTTTTTGCTGACTCTCTACCAAGCATAATATATGCTTTTTCAGGGACTGGTCCCTCCTAATAACGTGTCCACAGTAAGCAAGGGGAAGGCTCACCATCCTTGCTGCGAAGGAGCATTCTGGCTTTACTTCTTCCAAGACAAACGTGTTTCTTCTGGGGAAGTCACATAAAGAACTCACATGGCACCTGAAACTATGTCAAGACTCGAAATAGAGTTAAGGTCCCCACTGTAGACGGCAGCCTTCCACGATCCAAGTCCTTTAGCATGTCAGCTAAGTGTAACATGGAGCAAAAATCCCAACAACTAGCTCAATAAACAACATCGGGATAAACAGAGGAAAGATTGAAGTTGTCAGGCATTTCATTTTATTTGGATCTACTGTCAATGCCCATGGAAGCAGCCATCAAGATATCAAACGACATAATGTACTGAGAGGGGAAAAAGATAACTGTCACCGAGCGACCCTACTGGACAGAATACAATTGCTCCCTAGGGTTTCTGAGACTGTCAATCTTTACAGGAGCAGACAGCCTCATCTTCCCCAAACTGCTGACACATGGCCCACTATATCACCCACCAGACCTCTGCAAAAGACCCTTTTTAAAATGTTAAAAAAAAAGATGTTACTTTGATGAATAAGGTATACCTGACTCAAGCCATGGGTTTTCCATTGCTTCATATATATTCAAAAGCTGGGCAGTAAATAAGGAAGATCAAGGAAGAATTGGTGCCTTTGAATGATGATGTTGGATAAGAATACTGACTGTGTCATGGACTGCCAGAGAACAAGCAATCTGTATTTGAAAAAATGTGGGGGAAAGGCCAGCCCCCCACAACTAATCATGGGTTCGATAGGCGCAATTGTACGGTTAAGATATCTATAAAGATAGTAAAGTCAGAGAGAGCATGAGAGATGGAGGAGAGATTGAAATAATGGAGTCAGACACATTTCATAGTAGCATGCTCACCTCAGCCCTGCTTGGTGGTCCAGTGGAGATGGGAGGGCAGGAGAGAGGGGGAGGAGAAGGAGGACAAGAGGAAAGGGAACAGGGGAGTGAGGACAGAAGAGGAAGGGGGAGCCGATGAGAGACCAAGGAAGATCTGTATTGGTAACCAAGGCTTATATATATTTGGGGGATGTACAAGCCCACTAATTACAGGTAAAGGCATACGTCACAGGAAAGGGTTGTACTATAGGTTATACAGCAATGAGAGGGGGACAATCTAGGGATAAACGTAATAGGAAGGGGAGGGATTGGGGGCACACATGTGACAAGAAGAGCGGATCCTAGACTCAGGATGGCAGTCTAACTTTGGATGTAACTGAGCAGGTTTGACTTGGTCTCTGGATCTCCATAGAAACCATTATCAGCCGGGTGTAAACCCACCATGCAGGGACCAAACTGATGGCCTCAAGCCTTGAGGGAGAAGTAGCCCATTGTCCTTAACAGCAGGGAGCAGGGCCTACCTGTGGTGGGACCAGACAATAGTCTGACAACTGAATGTCTTCAGGGAAGTAGCTTACAATCATTTACCATTAGCTGTAAGCAGTGTCCTAAGTCTAATATCTATTTGGGGGAGACACTTGGGAGAAATATTTCAGTTTCCCACAAAAAAACAGTTCGGATGCTCCTCAGATGTGAGGATGGTGAGACTTTATCTCAAGAGCTTTGGGCATGTTAGGAGGAGGGATTGACCCCCGGAAAAGGACCTCGTGCATGGTAGAGTAGGTGGCCAGCAAACAATGGATGGCCCTCAAGAGACAGCTGGACTCAGTGGCTGCAGACAGTGGGCTCACATCCAGGAAGAAGGAGTGTGAGGGTGGTGCAGGCCGGGCAGTGCTTCATTCCCTTATATATTTGGTTGCTATGCATTGGAACGCACCTGCTAACACCTAATAACAATACCAAAATCAATCTCAA